TCCTTTCTTTGTCTCCTTTTTTCTCCTTTTGCTTGTCTCCTTTCCTTGTCTCCTTTTGTCTCCTTTGCATGCGTCTCCTTCTTCCCTTGCTGCTGCACTACAGGCATTGGGGCTGCTGCAGGAGCAGCAAATGGCATGCGAGGCAGCAGCATGGAATCCCCACGACCCAAACATGGTGAGTGTTGGTGAGGGTTTAGGGTTTAGGGTTTACGGAGGTGACACGTAGCAGCTTCTGCTTTGTATGCAGACAGATAACAATAATAAATATAAACTTATATATATTTATAATTATTTATTATTATTATTATTATTATTATATAATAAATAATAAATAATTAATTTAATTAAAATAATAATAAATATGTATTTATTTATTTATTTGCATGCATGCATGCATGCATGCATGCATGCATTGTGTGTTTAACAGATAATTACTGCGCATAGTAACAGCAAATTCCCTCTCTTACGTCATGCAGGAGGAGCAGCAGGAGGCTGTCTCTCTCTATGGGACATACGCAGCAGCAGCAGCAGCATCAGCAGCAGCAGCAGCAGCACTAGCAGCAGCAGCAGCAAGGGTTTAGGGTGTATAGGGAGATGTATAAACCCTCATGGCCCTCTTGCTGCTCCCCTCTGTCTCTCCTTTAATCCTAATCTTCCTTTCTCTTGTCTCTCTGGTGGTACCAATGCTGCTGTCTATAATTGGGATATAAGAAAATTAAATCAACCTATTAAGGTGATACACCTAGGGTTTAGGGTTTAGGGTTTAGGGTTTAGGGTTTAGGGTTTAGGGTTTAGGGTTTAGGGTTTTTTTTTTGTATCCTTTCTTTTGGAACATTTTTGTGTCCCTTTTGTATCCATGTTGTATCATTTTTGTCTCCTCTTTTGTCTCCTTTTATTCCCCTTTTTTGTCTCCTTTTATTCTCCTTTTTTGTCTCCTTTTTGTCTCCTTTTTTGCAGACCCTAAGAGACGTACATGGCCATTGGGTATCTCATCTAGCAATAAACCCTTTTCATGATCAACTTCTCCTTACAGCAGGTATAAACCCTAAACCCTAAACCCTAAACCCTCATCAGTAAACCCTAAACCCTGATTAGTAAACCCTAAACCCTTTTTAACAGCAGATCCTGTGCTTCCTCAATAACAACACCAAACCCTCTAGGGTTTAGGGTTTAGGGTTTAGGGTTTAGGGTTTATTTGTCTGGTATAGGGACGGATGGATGTTTAAAGGTTCATTGGATGGAGCAGGCGTTGGCTGTGCGTCTGCCAGGTGTATGTACACCTCAACAGCAGCAGCAGCAGCAGCAGCAGCAGCAGGGTTTATCACAAGAACAAGGGTTAGCAGCAGGAGCTGCATGTACACCCGAAGAAAAGACACAAACAACAGCAACACAAGATCGTCTCCTTTGTGTTGATGAATCTAGTGATGTAAGGAAGAAGGAGACACATACAAGGAGACACATATAAGGGGGAGACACTTATAAGGAGGAGACACTTATATAAGGAGGAGACACATACAAGGAGACAGTTAGGAGGAGACACTTATAAGGAGGAGACACATAAAAGGAGACAGTTAGGAGGAGACACTTATATAAGGAGGAGACACTTATAAGAAAGAGACGCATAAAAGGAGACACTTATATAAGGAGGAGACACTTATATAAGGAGGAGACACTTATATAAGGAGGAGACACTTATATAAGGAGGAGACACATAGAAAGGAGACACATAGAAAGGAGACAGATAGAAAGGAGACACATAGAAAGGAGACAGATAAAAAGAGACACATAGAAAGGAGACAGATAGAAAGGAGACAGATAAAAGGAGACAGATAAGAGGAGACAATTGAATAGAATAATAATAACATATAAGAGGACAGACAGGAGACACACTAAAGATGGTTATATCTTTAACTTGCTACTTCTTCTGCTGCTGCTGCTGTTGCTGCTGCTGCTGCCCTTGCTGCTGCTGTTGCTGCTGCTGCTGCTGCTGCTGTTGCTGCTGCTGCTGCTGCTGCTGTTGCTGCTGGTGCTACAGGACTCTGTGTGCAGTATAAGTTGGTCATTAAGTGACGCGTGGGTCTTTGCATCGATGAGTTTTGATGGATTTGTTTCTATTCATCAAATTCCTTCACAAGAAAAATATAAAATATTATTATAAAGGAGACTGTCTCCTTTTGTCTCCTTTATCTGTCTGTCTCCTTTGTCTGTCTCTTTCTGTCTCCTTTTTCTCTCTATATCTCTGTATCCTTATTACCTCTATACTCATCTCTCTTCCTCTTTCTGTCTTTCTTTCTATTCATCTAATTCCTTCACAACAATAATATAATATTTTATTATATAGGATACTGTCTCCTTTTGTCTCCTTCTCTCTCTCTCCTTCTCTCTCCTTTTTCCTTCTGTTTCTTTTTTCCTTCTGTCTCTTTCCCTCTCTATCTCTCTGGCCCTGTCCCTCTCTCTCTCGCTCTCTGTAGCTCTCTGTATATATATATATATATATATA